ATATTCTTTCTAGACAGCGGTTCAAGGCTGCCCTGCTTCTGATCTAGCTCTCTGCTTGTGTACTCGAGAAGGCAGCAAATAGTGAGCCAAGCACTTGGGCCTGCTGCCCAGCTGGAAGCCAGGATGGAGTTCCTATCTTTTGGTTTGGGCCTAGCCCTGGCTTGGACCCAAACCATCAGCTGGTTCACTCCCCAGATGACTGCAGTGACTGGGGCTGGGCTGGGTACTTCATTCATTCAGGTCTCCGGTATCTGGAGCCTAAGCACCTTGGCCATTGCCCCGACTGCGAACACCAGTTGAGATTTGGACCAGAGCCCATGTAAGGATTCTGGTGCAACCTGCTAGGCCCCAACACAGGCCCCCAGCGAGAGTAAATTAAAGGGTACTTATGAATGAGGAAGTAAAGCTAGTTCAATAAAAGACACACGTCGCAGTTCGCTCCTAGGCAAGGAATAAAAGCCATGATGAAAAGCATGTAACTTGGGCCCGGCGCGGTGGCACAAGTGGTTAAGGTCCTCGCCTTGCACGCCTGGGATCCCATATGGACACCAGTTTGTGTCCTGGCTGCTCCACTTCCCATCCAGCTCCCTGCTTGTGGCCTGGGAAGGCAGTCAAGGACGGCCCAAAGCCTTGGGACCCTGCACCCGCGTGGGATACCAGGAAGAGGCTTCTGGCTTCGGATCGGCATAGCATCGGCCGTTGCGCTCACTTGGGGAGTGAATCATCGGACGGAAGATCTTCCTCTCTGTCTCTCCTCTCTGTATATCCGCCTTTCCAATCAAAACTGCCTCTTTAGCCTTTCCAACTCCAGAGTAAGTAGTCACCAGCATTTCCACGAGCATCAGTAAATCAGCCAACTCGCTGGCGGTCAGGAGAACACCAAAGTCAACAATAAATTCCTCACAGTCTTCGCGCACACCTTACAGAACCCGAGCTCCTTCCACGCTGAAGACGGGAGGTGTGCAGGAAGCACGGAGAGCCTTCCATGCAGCCGCCGAGCCGGGCGCCCAGCCGCACAGGCGGCCCTGCCATGCTCACGTTCCCCACCTACACTATCCCTCCCTGGGAGCCACCGCTGCCGGTGAGCCCGGCCTCACACCCCCGCGACGGAACAGCGGGCAGGGAAAGCAAACACAACAAAAGCTCACCAGGCGGTCGCCTCGACTTGAGGGCGGCTGCTTTCCCAGGCCTGGGCGCCCCGACAGGGAGCCGCCTCTCCGACGTGGCCTCCTCGACTTGAGGGGGCGCCACGGCCGGAGTCTCCCAGGTTGGGTGTACACCCCGGGCGGCGGCTGTGTGCCCGTCCTGGGGTGGGCACACTGGGCGTGCAGGCCTGCGTCCCGCAGCCGTGGCCACGCAGCACAGTGCCCGGACTGGCACCCGCGGCCTGCGTGCCCGGGACGCCACGCGGGAGCCACGGAGCGGGTGCGGGGCGGAGCCACGACGGGGCGCGCGGGCCCGGGCAGGCGCTGTGGGGTCCGCGGGCCTCGGTGCGCGCGTGCGCTCTCGGGCTGGACTCCCAGACTCGCGCCGGGAAGGTTCGCGAACAGAGTCCCGGGAGACACGGAGGACGCCGTGGGGGTATCCCGGAGTGCTTGGGTCAACGCGGAAACGCATTCCTTTGGGGACTCTGGCTCCCACTCGGACCAGGTTTCTGGAACACGCTGGTTTGTGGCCATCCTTCGGTCGGCGTGCTGGCAGGGAGGAACTACAGAGAAAACCCTAAGGCTGGGGTCAGCTGCAGGAACTCTGCCAGGGTCACAGCTAAGCCCGGCCAGGAAGCCTGCACTTAGAAGGGCTGCCTGCAGGTTTTTCGCTGATCTGGACACGCCCTGAGACACACCCAGCCCAGAGACCCTGCCGGAAACATCTGACTGGATGCTAGATGCCACCCAAGCCTGCTGCTGGCCCCCCGGGAAGAGCGACTTCTGCATTGGACTGGGGGGGTGGGGCACCCTGGGCTCTCTGCTGCGGTCAAGCCTTGCTTTCTGAGACAAAGGATGTGTTTCTGAGGTGGTTTGGAAGCCTGTGTGTTGAGGGTGCCATGGGCAGGTGTTAGATGCCAGTTTGAGAACTGGTCTGTGCACCGTTTCGCTTGCTACATCATCTTGGTGTAACTTGCATTTTGTCCGAAGCAGGGTCACGAGATGACAAGGATTTGCGGCAGCATCACTTAGGGAGTGCCGAAGCAGACGCAACATCGGAGAAGTCAGGTGGCCTCAGGAGTTCACAGCACGTTGGGGGGAAGAGGGGTTTGCTGGTGACTACTGAAGTGCAAACAGGGTCACTGGACTCCTGCATCCTCAGACATCTGGCGGTGGAACCCGGGAGAATCATGTTGTAGGAGCAGGGTGGACTGGCAAGACGGAGGGATTGTCAAAGACCCAAGAAGGTGATGGGTCCGGCATTTGCAAATGGAAGGATCGAACAGCTTCTGATCAAAGAAGTGGAGGGAGGGAGGCCCAAGCAGGGCAGGGGACTGGACCCACCAGAGAGGGAGGGAGGAGGAGAGGCTGGTAGGCATGGAGGCAGCAGTGGAAATTTTGAGAAAGGTCTTTTGCAAGAGAGTGTATTGGGCCATCCTTGAATCACAGCAGGTTAAGCCTGCCTCCAAGCCAGCTCTGTGATAATGTGACTGGGGAGGCAGCAGCTGGTAGCCCCAGTGCCTGGGTCCCTGTATCTGCGTGCCAGGAGTTTGGGGGGTCCTGGCTTCAGCTTGGCCCAGCTCTGGCTGTGGGGCCGTTTGGGTGAATGTGTGTGTGTCCCACATGTAATTTGATAAGATTATGAGAATCATTCTTAGAGGTTGGGGGGGTGGAGAGAGAGGAAAAGTAGGGAAGGGCTTATTTATCAGTTTCTGAGTGAAAAGAAATCTTACTCTTCTGTTGTGCAGGTTGAATATAGATAACATGCTGCTTTTCTCAAAAAAAAAAAAAAAAAAAAAGGATTCTGAGTTTCCACAATAAGAAAATGATTGCTTCTAGAAAGGTTACCCTGAACTGGGTTCTACACAATATATAATAAATATATATTCAAACATCACAGAGCTCCATAAATATGTATTTTTATGTTATGTTGTTTTAAAGAGTATTTAGGGAGCTTCATTGCTTAAAGCAAACCTTGTGTCCTTGGAAAATTACAACTTTTTTTAAAGATACTTTTGAAGCTGTAATTGTGTTTTTGTTAGAAGTGAACATATTTGGAGATTGGTCTAGGTCAGGGTAGGTCTGCTCACAGATTGCAATTATGGGATACATGGTTCCCACACATTCCAGCACCTGCTATGAGGCCTGCTCCAAGACCACGTTTTGTGCTTCCCCACAGGCAGCAGTGACTTCTCTGGGCAAGGTGTAATGGTGACCTTTCCGCTTTAGCTCATTGGCTCCCAACTTGAACATGCATGGAGTCACACTAATTCTGTATCTCCAACCAGCATCCTAGTTACTTTTTTTTTTTTTGAAAAGATTTATTTGAAGGCAGAGTTACAGCAAGATCTAGAAATCAGCCTTTCAAATTAAAAATTTTAAAACATGTATGACAGAGTGACAGATCTCTGATCTGCTGGTTTATTCCACAGGTGGCAACTAGTTGTCAGGGTTTGGCCAGACTGAAGCCAGGATTCAGGACCTCCATCCAGGTCTCTCCTGTGGGTGGCAAGGGCCCAAGAACTTGAGCCGTCTTTTGTTTGCCCAAGCACATGAGCAGGGAGCTGGATGGGAAGCAGAGCAGTTGGAGGTCAAACCAGACCCTGGTACAGGATAGCAAGCCACTGCTTATCAGCCGAGACAGGGCTGGCTGCACTTTAGCTTATATTTAAAAGTTTGGCAGACAGATCTCCCATCTACTGGTTCATGCCTCAGGTGTCTGCGCCAGCTGGGGCTGGGCCAGGAAGGCACCAAGAACCCCATCCAGCACTCTCACCGCGAGCGAAGGACCCAGGCACTTGGAGCATCCTGTCTGCTGCCTCACAGGAAGCCAGAATTCACAGAGGAGCTGGGACATGGGTCCCAAGGTGGGAAGTGTGATATCTAGTGCTTGCCCTGGTGTGCTTTGCAATGGCGTCAATGAAATGACACACAAGATTCTGTGTGGCTCCTCAGGCCTGTGAGAAGTGTCCTGATGAGCAGGACCAGTTTGATTTCTATGCTGTTGAGGCCTTTCCAGCTTCCTGCTTTCTCCCTGGTTTTGTCCTCATGAGGCAGTCATGTGCCAGCCATGTGCTCAGCCAGGACCAGAGGTCACAGCTGACAGTTTGTGTCACTTCATGTTTCTGCCTACAGCTTTGAAGGGATATTTTTACATAAAAACTTTTCAACTATCTCTATTGCTTAGATGTAATACAACAAAGTATATAAATGTAATAAAAAAAATTTGATTTTGCATCAGGTGTGAAAGTTGCTCAGTAGTTTACCATTCACAAAATGGTCTTCCTTGAGTTTTGAATAGCACCTATCACAAAACTCAAGGATAAAACCGAAATAACCTCACCAGCGGAAATTTTGTAAACATCGTTTTTATTGGTCTCTTACCTTCAGTGGAAAAGCCCTCATGCCACCAACACATCTTTGAAACTTAGCAGCTGAACACCAAAGTCAAGAGCCCCAGGATTATTTTCCTAGATAAGTGCTGGAGGATATTGCTTTTTAAAAAAATAATATGTTTATTACTTCATTCCTTTTTAAAGCAGCAATAGCTCCTCAAATTTTTGTCATAAAAATCTAAAATGCCTCTAGAAATCCCAAGTGTCTTATATTTATATTTGTTCTAGGTATTTTAAGATTTCTCAGAAATCTAAGTGCACTTCTAAAGAGAAACAAAATTTAAATAAAACCATGAAGACAGGGAGGGGATACGGATTAATCACGGTGGTAGCAAAGCAACTCAAAGGGAGACTGCTTTTCACAGCTCCGGAACTCTACAGAGAAAAATCCCAATTTCTATCTCTGAGGTCATCCAACGTCACCACCAAACTGTCTACAAGAAAACACCAAAAAGAAATGTACTTGAAAATATTTTAAAGGTTACAGGTTCATACAAAGATATGCAGGTGTTTAAACAAACAAAAAGTATGCTGTTACAGAGATAAACTCTACCTTAATCCTGCCTTAGCAACCAATGACTTTTTAATATTTCATGTTTCCCATTTTCCAGTCAACTAAATGGGCTATATTTATTAAGCAGCTGATTTATAAGTAATTCCTTATTTTCCAGACAGCACAATGCTTCCATAGATTTCAAGATTTAAATCCATGTTACCAATAAATGCATAAACAAAAATAACATATTTGTTTTAATACAAAGGTTTTTAATAAAAAAGAGTCTACATTAAATCAGGAAACCAATAATTAAGAATTATACAAGCTTTCTGTGTACGTAGAAAAACCAAAACCACACATTGTTTATAATAAAACTCTTTTAATTCAAAATAGAGCCTAATTTAAAGAAAATGTCATTACGCCCAGTTGATCAGATAGGGTTCTGTTGTTTAAATGAAATGATTCACCTGAAATATGGGAGATGTGTAACAGAGAAAATTCCATCTCAAGGGAACTCTGCGAATCATCTTGTCCATTTGCATCATGAATCAAATTCTTGGCTTCCAGAGGGCACACACAGTCTCGGATTGCTTTTAGATAGGCACTTAAGAAATGCTTCTTGATGAGGGGAAATCCCCAAAGATTGTGAACCACTCGGTTACCCCGGGGGTAGGACAGACCCTTCCACATGGCCTTCCCTCCCACACCCCCCAGGAAATCCCGACTGCTCCCACAGAACTGACACCAGAATCCTCCCTGCTCTCTGCGCAGGCAACTAAGAAGTCGACTTAGGTAATTCAACTCCTTCCAGTCAACCTCCACCAAGTTTCCATCTGGAGACAACTGTCTCACTAGAACAAGACAATGTGGCTCAACCTTGCTTCTCACCTATTCGTGACCACCCCAGCGGGAGAGGAAGGTGAAGCATAAAGACCCCATAGACCCCAGCAGATGTTCTGGATGTTTTTCAAAAATGAAAGGCAATTACATTCAGAAAACTCAGAGCTAGTCCAATTGAGATAAACTCAGAGTTTTAATAGCTCACTCAGCCACATGATCCAGATGGAAAAGTGGAGACGGGCTACCAACAGCACATCAGGCCAGTACTCAGCAGTTAGCACCTGACCAAGAGCCTAGGGAGCTGCCTAGCAGTACCTCTGCAACAGCTGCTGTCACTGCCTAAGGTTCCTGTGCAACTCCCCCCCAAACGGGGACTGGATTCAGAGCACTGGGAACCGTCCTAACTGCATCTTCACGTAAGAGCAAACAGGAGGTGACTCCTGGATAAGGACTGCTTCTCAGAGAGTGCTACCAACACCAAACTTACCGAGTCATGTTGGAGGGACAATGTTGGGCCACGAAAGGTCATTTAATTCTGTCTAATCACAATCCCCCTCGGCCTGCACTTGCATCCTGAATTCAGTCTGCCCTAATCACTGTGATGGAGCTAAACATGAGCAGCAGTGCTCTTGGATGAGCTGGGCCTCACAAGGATCTGGTCTGAATCCGGTAAAGGCAAGTCCTCCTCGGTGGTGGCCGTCCGCTCCGTTCAGGATCTTTGGTACATTTGGAGCACAGGAACACAAGTGCTATCAAAGGGACTGAACCTTAACCAGCCATGATATGGAACAACTTTCTAGAAAACCAAAGTTAATAGCGTTGTCAGAAGTCTGACATTTAAAAAAATAGTTTAATAAAAAATACACTAGTTCTACCAGCAGCTGTCATAGTCGTTTCTTGAATCTAACTCACCAGAATCAAATTAAAATAATGCTGTGTCCTCTTGTCACAAGGAGAGCAACTCCCATTTTGTATGACACAGAACATCTCCCTGTTAGCATACAGACTACATATATAAAGGTCAGTATTTCTGAATGCGAAGTGAATACATTAGTGGACTGCTTGAGTGAAGGTGTTAAACTTCCTCTTTCTTATTATGATCTTGTCACACCCTACTGTAGTGTTTGTGTAATGACTGGATGATAAATTCTAATTGCTTAAAACAACCAGTGTATTTTCTCCTTAGATTTCATGAAACCATTACAGAAATATCTTCATATATATTCTACAGGTGTCCAAACCAATAGGGCAAATGTTCTAACACCAACTATGGAAGATGGCTTTTACTGATTATCTAAACCCTTAGGATTTGCAGGAAAACAGCAGGACTGCAGTGTCACCTACAGGTTAGCCTATGTTGCTTTAAGTGATATGTGATCTCCTGAACTGATCAGAGGTGTTACAGTTCAAAGCCATGGCACACACAGGCAGACTGGACCTTATTACACAGGTAGGCAGTGCACTAAGAGAGGGATGCACATTCCTTGTATTCCAGTACCTTTATATAATAAAGTTAAAAAGAATAAAATATTAAAAAAAAAAGCCAGCTGGCACTGCCAACCAATTCCTGTAGTAGTCTTAGAAATCCTAATCCCGTAGAATTTCCTCTTGTAGTCAGAGAGCACCACCATCCGTCCTCAGGAGTGTTTCCGTGTGCTGTGCCCTATGCCAAGCAAGCCTGGTGATGCAGCTACCTGAGTTCTCTTGGCTGTGGGTGAATGCCATCTTCGTTCATAACTTCCCAGCTTTCATGTAGGTAGGGATGGAGCCACGCTGAGTCAACCCCTCAAACCTCTTATAGGTATAATTGAGAAAAACCCAGTCTTTGGACTTGTAGTCTGCTTCCGTGGTGTTTGGCACTAGAAAGGTGGAAAAAGGAATCATGAATGAAGGCAGTTCATTGGTGAAATGCAAGCACCCCCACCTGTTTTCAGTAACAAAGTTGTGTTATACATTATCTTACCTGGTTGTAAAATATCAGATTCAGGGAAGTCATCAAAATTTGAAGTGTCATCAATACTTTTGATTTCTATAGGGATTGCTGCTGGCCTTTCCCTATAAAAAGGCATTGAGAATTTAAGAGAGAGAGAGAGAGAAAGGTATTGAGTAGCCATGATTAGATTCCTTGAAGCCTAACTTGTCATCAAACAATTCTACTTGTAAATTCCACATGCCACTCTATACATATCACAAAGGCCAAGGGAATCTACTGTGGGTTTGAGAAAACTCAAGCAGATTTGAAGAATCCAGTATAATTTTTAAAAACTTGTTTATTTAGTACTTACTTATACAGAAAAAGAGAGAGAGGAAGAGAGGGAGGGAGGGAGGAAGGAAGGAAGGAAGAGGGTGTCCACCAACTGGTTCACTCCATAAATATCTGCAGTAGCCAAGACTGATCAGGATTGGAGCTGCGGTCAGGAACTCCAGGTCCCCCACATGGAGGGCAGGAACCCGTTACACGAGCCATAATCAGTACCTGGCAGGAAGCTGGACCTAGGAGCCAAAGCCAGCAGCTGAACCCAGCAGCTGCACTATAGGACAAGGCATCTCGGTCCCATGGGCACAATATTTTTTTTTTCCCTAAAATATTCTCATTTTCTGACATTGTCCATGCCTACAATGTTGGGAAACACTTCAATAGCAGAATGACAGACTAATGACTATTCATGAAGGACTACCCATTGTAATACTAGAGGGGAAATCAGTGGGGAAGATGGGAAATCCCAGAGCCTATGGAACTATATCATAAAATAATAATAATCTAATTTACTTAGAATTTACTTATCTTTGTACTAAGACTTTCTAATGCCATTTTTAAAGCAAAAATATTACTTAATGAGAGGAAAAGTAAAACAGAAGAGATTTTATTTTAAGGATTTTTATAATTATACAAAGTATGTAAGATAATGACTTAGGAATAAAATTCTTCTAGGTGAAGATCCATAATTCAAATGTCATTTGGAAAAGCAGGAAGCACAAAAGGTGGAGAGGTGATGTCCCCACAATGAAACTCCTCAGTTGTAATTTCCAGAAATCACAATTGTTAAGGCATAAGATAGATGGGAAGCAAAAACCTGTCATATACATTTCATGAGAATCAGGGATATAAGATTAAAATGAAGTGAGTCATGAAAACGTCTTCTTACACAAAAAATATTTATAAATAGTTAAGAGGAGCTATCAGCTTTTATTGCTTCTCTTTCCAGTAGTATTTGCTGGATCCATAGGGGGCTAAGTTCACTAAAAATGTCTTTACCAAAATTATTTCAAATGATTTATTAGTGCTGTCATTTCCCAAGCTCCAGGACATCCATAGAGGTCCAGGTTCCTTACACCAATGGAGCAGTGTTTGCATCTAATCTATGTGCATCGTTACCATGCACTGTTCATTGGTAGATCACTAACACTATGTAAGATAATGTCAATGCTAGTGAGTATCTAGTGTATAACAAGAAAAAAGGCCACACATCTTCAGTTCAGACGTATTTTTCCCCAAATATATTTGACAGTTGGTTGAATCCATGCTTGCAGAAAATATGGATATGGAGGGGGCTCTAAGCCTTCCAAGCCATAGGCCAGAAGCACCCATGTGGGAGATCAACATGGATCCTGGCTCTGGATTTAACCTGGCCCAGCCCTGACCACTGAGGCCACTCATGGAATGAATCAACCAGGCAAGGTGAAAAGTGGCTGGCCACGCTGGTCCAGTGCAGCAGCAATGAGGTCAAGGAAGAAAACGGTATCTCAGTTGGAAGGAACACCCGCCCAAAGCGAGAGGCAGGAGGAGCAGCAGAGGCTGTGTAAGATGCAGCCAGAGCTCAGGGGGAGGCGCAGAGCCTACAGCCTGAGACAGCAGCTCATGGTAGCATCAGGCCGACATTTTTCAACTGTTACCACTGGCAGAAATATATTGTGGGTAGTTCAAACACAAACAGAAAAAGGCCAAAGCTCACAATGAACAACCACATGCAATTCTTCAAAGTCACTGCAATATTTTACTTTTCCCCTAAGGGTTCAACAAAGAATAGTATACTGTAGAATAGTTACTGTAAGGTAAGGAGACACAGTTTGAAATGCAAACACATCCCTCAGATACAAACAGCCTCCCCTGGTAACTAAGAACACCCCAAGGACCCAGATCATAGTCTGGGTTTCTTCCCTTGATGCAGACGACAGCAAAGACCGAGCCAGTTAGCTGCAGCCGTTAGACTCACTCTCTTACACAAAACATCCTGACTTAGCTTTCCAGCAGTGTTGCTTCCTGTATTCTGTACACAGAATCCAAGGCAAATTAATGGCTAACTTAGTCATCTGTTTTTCTCCAGCCCTCCCGTCAAATCCCAGGAACATACCTGATGTGCCCCCAATCTACACCTTCAAAGAAGGGGTGCCCTTTTATCTCTTCTACTCCACTATTTCCAATTCTGTTTTCAGAGTCAATACAAAATCTAGAATATGGAAACAAGAGAAATTATCTCAGGTCTTGTGGGTATCGGTAACATTTCCAGATACCATGAACTGCTCAAGGGATTTAACGACTCACCTGAGAATTAAGTCCTTGGCTTTCTCGGATATGGGCACCTCTGGAGGAAACACCAGCGTCTCTTTCCAGTTCATCACCTTTCTGTAAGTTTCTTGAGGTGTTTCAGAGCAGAAAGGGGGGTATCCTACACACCAGAGCAGAGGGCTTCCTCAGCTTTGGTGACGAGTCCAGTCGGCTCACCACTGAAGGTGCCGCAAGGGACAAAACTCCCTGTCAGACAGGCCTCCAGGCACTGATTTCCAGAAAAACTGCTATGCTGAAGTCAATGAGGGATTTAAAACACACCCTCATTTATTTATCTATTTGTTTATTATTTTTGAGAGACAAAAGAGAGCCTTCACCCACTAGCTTACTTGCCTGGGCCAAAGCTGGGGGCTGGAACTCGATCCAGGCCTCCCCCATGGGTGGCAGGAACCTGATTACTGGAACAATCACTGCTGCATCTGAAGGTCTACAATGGCAAGACACTAAAGTCTGGAACCAGAGCTGCTATCAAACCCAGGTACTGCAATGTTGGACATGGCTCACCTTCCCTGGCTTTTTATCAGTATCTATGTCTTAGCACAGGGAGACCCAAAATCAGGTTTAAAGGAGCTCAAAAGCCCACAATATCTCCCATATATGTTCAAGGGACATGAAGAAATGTATAGAATATGTGCATAAATTAACGATAAAACATACCTATTAGCATTTCATACATAATCACTCCCAGAGACCACCAGTCACATAGCTTGTTGTAGCCAGTCTGCATGAACACTTCTGGAGCAATGTAGTCCGGCGTCCCAACCGTGGAATACGCCTACAAAGGAGCAGCATGTCAGACATGCACTCCCAGTGCTGTTTTGCATCTCTGACTATGCCCGCTACCAGGTAAGGCAACATACATGGAAGGCCAAGTTTCATTTGCATGTTGATCCCGTTTAAGGTTTAGTGCTAAGCACATAATGCTATGTCCTAGGATACATGACTGTGCCCTGGGGAAGCTCAGCTGGATTATTTGTAAATATAGTTCTAAGTTCATTTTAAACAGAAAGAAGAGTCAGAACCCAGGAGGGCTGGCTGCCCTGTTCTCACACCTAATGTGTGTGTGAGCTCATTATCCAACCTCTCCAAGTCTCAGTTCTGCTTACACAGACCTGGAGGAAGGACACCTGTCCTAACAGAGTTAATCTGAGGATGAATCAAGAACGAGACTGTGCTCTGTGAACTCAGGCCAGCAGACAAGCGTCAGGTCTGGCAGGTGGATCACCAGTTGAATTCCTGGGATCTGCTAACCCATCAGGAAACTACACAGTTTCTCAATCTGAATTTGTATAAAATCTTATAGAAACTATTTTTTTTTTTTGAGGTAATGGTAGTTCTCAACTAGGGCTAATAGTTTAGGGGCCATGTGAGAATGTGACAGACTCTGCCATCTCAACGACCTGGGGAAGACACGACTAGCACCCAGTGTGCAGTAGATCTGGGGGCTAAGACATGTCTTGCCTCCAATCTCCAGAGTCCCCTCTGCTTCTCCCTGAAGCACGACAGAAGGCTTGGGACTCTGGGCCACGAGCCGGGAAGCACACAGACAAGCAATACCTGTGACTCTTCCATCAAGGGGGGTACAGAATTCCCACCACAGTTTTCAGCGGTATTCATTTTTTTTCCCTTTAAGAGCAGGAGATGCTGTAATTACTTTCTCAACTTTAAAATCAGATCTAAAAGTGACAGATTTAAAGTAGAATGAAGTTTATCTCCCAATGCATAGCCCGTGGTTTCAGACGGCACCAGAAAAGCAGTTGTCAACTGTCTACTTTCTGAAGGCACACTCGGTCTCACTCTCGTCACTTGGCTGGACTGAGCAAATATTTATAAAAGGGCCTGTGCATGCCAAGTGGTAAATAGGAAGTTAGGAAAACAAAGTTAAACGGAGCATTCCTAACTTTAAACTGGTCAAGGACAAGTTAACAAGATAAGGGGAAACAGGCAAAAGAGGAAACAATTCTTACACTTGCCAAGTAATAGAAAGGAAGTAGTATCGAGTTAAAAAGAATTTACTTCTATATTAAAGGAGGAATTAAGTTTATCTATAGTAAAGTCAGCTCCCAAAGTTTATCTATTCTTCGTAACACTGCGGACATTCCAACCTCCCAGTTTCTCTATAAGGAATTTCTTAGAAACTGACAAGCACCTTACTTCCGTCAGCTTCATGAAGAGTTACCCCTTAGGGATGGACAACTGGGAAATGAGAGCTGGCTGGCACTCACTGCACTCAGTGAGAGGCGTTCAGACGGCAGCTGTTGGTCAGCACAGATGTGCTCAGGAGGGCCCCTGGAGTGAAGCCGTAGGTACATAGCCACAGCTCCGCTCACAGAGACACTAAGCACACTGTGGGATTCCAGAACCAGCTCTATCGCTGGTGCAGACTAGTCCTAAGCAGTGTAAGGATATAAGAGCATCAAGAGAGCACACGGGAGCTTCGGGGGCCAGGACACACAACTCCGTGAAAACACCGCTGACTCACCAGCTGCCTCCTGTTCTTCTTCCACGTTTCTGCTTTCCTCTTTGAATTCATGTTCTGAAAAGCTGAGTTTACCACAACAGTTGTCAGCAGAGAAAAACTCTCATCAAACCTCAACACCACACATATAAAAGGGTGCTTCAAATAGCTGACAATCAACTAGGTCTGAGTTTCCAAACAATTTTTGCTCCAAAAGGAAAAGATATTTGCAAGTCAGAGTGGTAGAGAAGGAAGTCAGGTGCTGGCTCACTCCCCTAGTGGCTGCAACAGCCAGGGCTGGGCCTGCTGACACCAGGAGCCCGCAGCTCCTCCCAGGCCATCATCGGTGGCCTCTCCAGGAACACTGATAGGAAATCGGAGTAAAAGCAGAGCAGCCAGGACTCAAACACTTCAACAGAACTGCCTGTGGCAACACATGGCGGCCTCACCTGCCATAATACCACACCCAATTTATCAGATTGATTCCATTTTCCACAAACTTTCTTTTATGTTTTTTTTCTACTTATTTTTTTTATTCTTATTATGTTCCATGATACAGTTTTGTAGGCATAGGGGTCCCCCTCTCCCTATCCCCTACCTGGCTCTCCAATTTCTCTTCCCACCATTTCCCCCCACAGTATTAACAATAGTACAATCTTTTAGTAACAGAAGTTTAACATTCTGCTTTTTAAGTGCATCATGACATTGTAGGTATTAGCAAAGGCAGAAAATCTAGTTACACAAACATTTCAAAGAGCCTTGTAAACAAGGAATGAGGAGATGAGAGGACTGGGTTAAACCAGCTTTAATATTTTAACTAGAAAGGAAAATGGAACTTACAGAAGTCACTTGGTGGGTTGTGTGTGAGATTTCTGTAGAATTCAGTCCTGTGAGCTTTCTTTAATCCTGTGCATAACCCAAAATCCGATAATTTTACATGACCCTAAAACAAAAAGTAAACAGATCAGGAGATTACTTGGATTTTTGAGAAACTCCTCCTTTAAATAAGCTCATTGTTATAAACATTCTTAATGTGGAGTTCCTGCAGGCAAAACTGTAAAGTTACAAATAGCTGATGATAATAATTTTAGAAATTAGACAAGGGAGGAAGACAAGAGCGGCTATTCCCTTGATGGGATTCCATTTCCGAGTCCTCCATGAAAGTAAGTTGTTTAGGAATAATCTAAACTGCGGCTGACCACTTCCAGTCAGCTCTGTTCTGTAAAGCGGCAACAGTTTATTCACATGCCTTGGCATCCAATAAAAGGTTGTCTGGTTTAATATCCCGATGGATGAAGCCCAACTGGTGGATCGCATCTATTGCCAGAACAGTCTCTGAAATGTAGAACTGTGTCTCCTCTTCTGTCAAGGTGTCTTTCTTCATTAGCAACGTCATCATGTCACCTAAACAGGGAAAGTGAGCAGCATGTAAATGAAAGGGGAAGACCTTGCAAAGGCTCTTTTTAATTACACAATGAATGTCAATTTAGTGCTTTATGATCCACCTAGCATGCCACTAACAAGCTCTGGGGCCGAACAAGAGTCACTGTGCAAGACAAAGTTGCACATTTAATGGTTTTGGTGGAAAGTCTGTGACATCAAATCAGAGCGAAGTTGAATGAAAATATATCCCTGCTCATCACCCAGAGTCAGTTTTGTAGGAAGAAGAGTTTAATGCCCTCCACTCCACTGGAGTGCCATTTGGAGTCACAGCTGCTCCATTCCAAATCAGCTCTGCCAATGCACCTGGGAAAGCAGCAGGCACTGCCCCAAGGGTTTGGGCCCCTGCTACTCAGCTGGGGGTGAACCATCATATAATTATGCCTGGTTTTATTTTTCCATTCTTCCACTGATGGGTACCCATCTTGCATTCGAGTTTTCGCTCTAGCAACAGTGGGGCAATGAGAGCCCTTCTCCAGGTCTCTTGTGCACGTGTGGGAGAGGAACTCAGACACACACAGTGTCGCTGGATTGGAGAACACAAGCAATTTCAGCTCCACTCCATTGAGTATCTCTAAGTAGCTTTCCATGAAAAACAAATTCACAAGAGGCTAGTATCTCCCACTGCCTCGCTTCCACTCAGTCTCATCAGCCCATTAAGGTTTCTGTTACTATGACCAGTGCAAAATAGTACCTCACTCTAGTTTTAATTTATATTCCTTGAATATGAATGAGGTGGCACATTTTCCTGTATTTCTGTAAACAGTGAGGTTTATCCTCTGTACCTTTCTAACCTTTGCCCACTGGCATCTTTGTCTTCTTCTCCGCGAACCTAATTTTCCTAACTCTGGACACTGAATAATCTAATTAAATATAGTGAACTCAGATTAGTAGTCTTTAAAATCTACCAACTACATCACTCTTTCAAAATAATCTGATTTGTAGTCAGAATGAGCATTGTTCTGAAAATAAATACCAAAAAATGATTGACTGATTCTAAAACCTCCAAGGTAGGAACATCAAACTAAGCCCAATCAAATAGCATTATTATTACATGTTTTAAGAGTGTCTGTCATTGCTAAAGTGTTTTCTTTTACCTCCAGGAAGAAATTCCATGATGAGATAAAGATTCCTCTTATCCTGAAAGCTGTAAAACATCTTCACCACCCAGGCACCATCTGCTTCTACCAAAATATCTCTCTCTGCTCGGATATGGGCCACCTAGATGAATATATTATGAAAAACCAATTATAACGCGGTACACATTTCTCAGGATTGTGTGTTACAAATTACTCATCTATAACAGTCACGAAAGTCAGCTCAAGTTTCAGAACATATTCAAAAATCTACCTGTGTTCCCACTCTCATTAAGCTGCTTCCCAGGGGGCTCCCCATCTGTTGGCACTTACTCTGCATCTTTAACCCTGAAAAGTGAGACAGAAAGCCAAGGTCTCTACACAGCAGCCTTCACGGCCGCCGCCTAGCTCTCCGACTGCATCTCCAATCACTCCTCTCGACAACACATCTCCTACCCACGTCTTCCCATCTCTGAGGAGGGCAAGATTACCCTTGTCTTTGGTACCTGAGTCTCTGTTCTGCCAGACCTTTCCACGTCATTCTTTCTCACTACACATGCTCTTGTCAACTATTTCCTTTACGGAGAAACTTCCCGATCAGATTCCTTCCTCAAACCTGGCTCCTGTATATCCCCTTGTCCATTCTATACAGCGTTCTGTAGTGTTTCTGTAATAGTCTTCACTATTACAAGAGAGACAAAACCAGGCAGATTTTGGTATCTACTGTAACCCACAACACTTGGTACACCACAGGCACCCATTACTGCTTACTGAGTGAATAGAATTACAGGGCACGGTGAAAATTCAGGTGGTCACAGTTAAATAGAAATCAGTACTGCTGTAATAACACAGTAAGCTCTGGGCAGAGACGAAAAGGCAAGGCCTGAGGAGCAGAGATCTGCCTCCTTCTAGAGCCCCCGTTGGGTTGCTCACTGGATGAGGATGCACACTCAGTGTACAGACCAGAGTGTCTTCCCAGACTGGAAATATGTGTGAACACATCAAGTGCCAGTGGGGATGTTTTCAGGGGTATGGCCACTCCCAAAGAACTGCACGAAGCTACAGCAAACATGGGAAGAAACCAAGAGTATATTTAGAAAAAAAAAAAAAAGTTACAGATTCTGGGAAATGGGAAAAATCTGCAAATTCTCAGGAAACTGCTTTGGTTACTTGATGGGTGTCAGGGACTGAGCGTGCTAAGAACTGGTCCTTGTTTTAACAGAAGAATAGGGAGCCTTCTACTAAGGGCTGAACATTCATGTCTCCCCAGAGCTCACCTGGTGCAGCCCTGACTCCCACTGTACAGTTGTATTTACCAGGAAAGCAGAGAAGGCTCAGTGAGGTCACGGGGTGGGGCCAGTGTCCTGGTAAGAAGGTACTCCAGGGATTCCCCATTTGGGGACACAGTGATAAGGCAGTCAGTTGCCTGCAAGCACCCTGATCTTGTGGGGCTGAGAGGAAGTCATTTCTATGGTGGACATCACTCAGTCCATGGTATCCTGTTACGTCAGCCCCAGCAGACTACTCTGAAGACCACAGATTTGGAAGAGATCGAACAAAACAACTGAAGAACATGAATACAAGCTATCAAAATAGGAACAGATGTTAGAGTGAGATGTTACTACTTTCTAAAATTTCCAGTCTAAACACTTGGAATGACCTGGTTTGAGGTCATTCCTTGGTGTGACATGTGGTAAATAATCCATACCTGCTCTTTTTCAAGCATATCAGCCTTTCTTAGTATCTTCATGGCATAGATATGACCTGTGTCTTTCTTTTGGACCAATCGCACCTGGAATATAAAACAATCTATTATACATATTGAATAATCATTACTAATGATTCAGAAAGTAGAACTGTATACATATTTTTTTTGGAAAAGAGCGATCATATATAGACATAACCGGATAAGCAAATACACATGTGTGTTTTAGGTTGAGGGGTAAAGGGACAGATACACAGAGAACAGTGAGCAAGCTCCCAGCTGCTGGTCCATTCCCAAAAGACCCATCCAGAGCTGAGGCTGGACCAGGCTGAAGCCCGGAGCCTGGAACTCAATCCAGGTCATCCACGTGCATGGTAGGGACTCAACCATCTGAACCACCACCTGCCCCTCCCAGGGTCTGTATTAGCAGGAAGCTGGAGTTGGGAGCTAGAGCCAGACACCTGATATGGGACGCAGGCATCTCTATCGGCATTTTAACCACCAGGCAAACTGCCAACCCCAGAAGCAGTTCAAATGGCCCCAAGATAAACACTGTCACCAGCAGTGGCTTGCAGAAGGAACACACCTCTCCGAAAGCTCCTCTCCCTATGACCTTCAGAGACTCGAAGTCATCCAGGCCCAGGCGAGTCCTCTTGAGCCGCAAGAACTCTGTTTCTTTGCGAGCATGTTGTGATCGGCGCAACTTTTTCTGTTATCAAAAAAGAGGGTGATATAAAATGATGATTTTGTAATCAGGTTATTTCAAAGAAACAGTATTGAAAGATGATACACACATAATAGAAGGAAGTTAATGTAAATATTATATACTAGTGCTATATTTTATTTTCCAAAGTCAAGTATTTTTAAAGCATAATAAAAAAAGCGAAAGAAAACTTGTCAAAGCAATGTTATATTTTTATTTACTTATCTACTTACTTATTTGAACTATTTGAACTGAGAGAAAACATATAACAGTTCAGTCCACATCACTCCCTGGATCTGATGGAGGCCTGAGCTGAGAACCAGGAACTAAATCCAGGCCCCTTAGGTGGCAGGAACCCAACTACCCGAATCCTCACTGCTGCTTGCCAAAATCTGCATCAACTTGCAGCCAGACTGGAAACTTAAATTCAGGAATTCTGACAGGGGACTAGTATTTCAATCAGAGTCTCAACTGTCAGGTCAGATTGCTTTCTAAAATATTAATAAAACTTTTCTTGGGCCTAGTACAATGGCCTAGTGGCTAAATAGTCATCTTGAATTGCCAAGATTCCACATGGGCAATGGTTCATGTCTCAGTTGCTCTACTTCCCGTCCAGCTCCATGCTTGTGGCCTGGGAAAGCAGTCAAAGATGACCCCAAGTCTTGGGACCCTGCACCTGATGGGTGACCTGGAAGAAGCTCCTGGCTCCTGGCTTCAGATCGGCTCAGCTTCAGCCATTGTGGCCACTTGGGGAGTGAACCAGCAGAGGATCTTTCTGTCTCTCCTCTCTGTATATCTGCCTTACCAATAAAAAACAAATCATTATAAAAGAAAACTTTTCTTAAAAATAACTGATAAATCTTTACTTTTGGGATATACTCTATTAAATTCATTTTAACTAGTCATACATACATAAACATATAATATGTGTTTTTCATCTACCTGCTAATTTGATTCATAAATTACAATTAAACTTCAGGAAAGGCTGACAACATTCTCACACTGATTTTGCAATATTAGCCTAAAACATTCAAGTCAGTAACTTCATAATTGTTTCAGCAAAGATTGTAAAAGAACAACTAGCATGATTTATAACTGTTTTAGCAAATAATAAATTATATTTATTTATAATACATTATTCAAATAAACAATGGTACAAAACCTCAAGGTTACATCTGGAGCAGCCATTTATTTAATCGTTGTAACCTCACTATTCTCCCAACCCCTCTACAAATAAATTCCACAGTGTGTTCCTAACAGACGCGTTCGCCGTTCAGTTACACAGGAGGCAAGCGGACTGTCCTCACAGCCAGGAAACACTGCTCTAAAAGCAGCTCAAGGACAGCCAAAATGCCATCCCCTTCTACCTGTGTCTGCTTTTAAAATGCTAGGTAAAGTGTTACAACTATGTAACTAGGTATCATTAATGCAATGGAATCCTGATACTTCTAACCATATTAATTTTTTAAATTTTTATTCTATTTTTTTTCAATATTAATTTTCACAAGACCAACTGTTGGACATGTGCAGACAACGGGATGGTGGACTGTCCGACACTGCCTGTACCAGCAATGTCGGGGCACACTTAAATAACAGACTGATGGAATCATGACTCCTTATGAAGGACTATACTGTTGTAGCAACATGGGGAAAATCAGTTGAGGGATGGGAGTTTGTGGGGGAATCCCAGTCTGTATGAAATTGTACCATAAAATTCAAAAATTCAAAATAAAATATTAACAGAAACAACAACAACAACAAAACAGGCTACACATTCAGGCACATCAATGATAAAAATTATGACATGATCAATGAAAGGCATGTTACAAATTAAAAAGCTTTATTTCTAGCACACGAATTTAGCCTGGAGGTTAAATTCTGCCACATGTCCCACAGTGAGAGCCTGGGGACAGTGCCCAGCTCCAACTCTCTGTAGCTTCCTTGTAATGTCAACCCTGGGAGGCAGCAGTGACAGCTCAAGTGACCGAGTCCCTCCCACCCACGCAGACCTGGACCCAGCTCAGCCCTGGAATAAGCGTGGAATGAAAGGGCACTTTGTCTCTCAAATACACATTTCCTTAAAAAAAAAAATCATCTATTTGAAAAAACATGGAAAGGTGGGGAGGGGGCCTGGGCCAGGTTGAATCCAGGGCCCCCCAATCCATCTGGATCTCTAGCATGGGTGTCAGGGGCCCGGGCACTTGGGATCGCTTCCACTGCCTTCCCAGATGCATTCCGAGAGCGGAGGATCAGAAGTGGAGCAGCGAGGACTGGCACCAGCACTGATATGGGACTCCAGCTGTGCAAGTGGCAGCTTCATTTACCGTGCCACAACACCACTCCCTCAAGTAAGTTTTTCTTACACTGCTTTGCCACATACCCTTTCCCACACTCAATATTCATTATAAAACACAGTAGTGCTATGGAAACCATAAGTAGGCAACAACAAGAAAATATTGATAAGAAATCAGCAGTAAAAGAAATTAAGTCATTTCTCTATTTACCTAAAAGCTAACCAGATATAAGGAATATCTATGTTTAAAAAAATGAACTCCTCTAATCACGAGATTAAGGTTTTTTTTTTCTTTCAGATACGTATTTTTTTAAAGATTTATTTTTATATTTTTTTTTATTGGAAAGGCGAATATACAGAGAGGAGAGACAGAGAGGAAGATCTTCCGTCCGATGATTCACTCCCCAAGTGAGCGCAATGGGTCGATACTATGCCGATCTGAAGCCAGGAGCCTCTTCTGGGTCTCCCACGTGGGTGCAGGGTCCCAAAGCTTTGGACCGTCCTCGACTGCCTTCCCGGGCCACAGGCAGGGAGCTGGAAGGGAAGCGGGGCTGCCAGGATAGAACTGGCGCCCATATGGGATCCCAGGCGTGCAAGGCGAGGACCTTAACCACTGCGCCACCACACCAGGCCCTAGATACATATTTTTAAAAATTTAAGCAGACTTATTTATTTGAAAGGCAGAATTTAGTCAGAAAGAGATCCTTCATTTGCTGTTCAATCCTCAAATGGCCACAACAGTCAGGGTTGAGCCAGACCAAAGACAGGTATCAGGGGCTTTTCAGGGTCTGCCATATGGGTGGCAGGGGCACACGGCGCTTTAGCTGGGAGTAGCTTGAAGCCACTGCACAACAACTATGTCCCCAGGTTTCCTCTTTTTTTTTTTTTTCACTAACACACAGACACACGGAACCTATGGCATCAATGATGATTATTTTGTCACCTCTGTTGATATTAATGCAATGCCAAATGTCATCTGTACACAGTAGAGGTTAAGAATTACCCCATGAATAATTTTACGAATCAGCATAGCAAAAGACAAGCCCCTCAAAAGTAGCTTGTTTTCAATTTTTTAATTGCAGTTTCTTTTTAAGGCCACTTGGCGGCACTATAGCATCATGCCCATATCATTCATGCTTGTAAAGGAGTTTTTTTTCCCTAAGTACAGACATGAGTAAATTTAAGAATTTTAAAAGATAATCCTAATATCTTGTTATAACTTATAATACTGAGCATAGTTGGGTGTAGTTATAGAAATTTGATTAATATGAATAGAAAAGATGACCTCATTATTTTCATCAATTGTATTAAAAATTGTTCACTAAGATACCTGGTTGTATAAGACCACTAGTAAGCAATGTTTATGTGGCTTGGGGCATGGACTATTAACAGCAGAAAAGGGAGAATGGGTGGGAGTTGTGGTGCAGCTACTTGACTGCCACATTCCATAGGGGCATGCTGACTGTAGTCCCTGCTCCGTGCCTCTGAACCAACACATGGAAGCTCGCTCTCCTCCTCCTCCCTCCCTCCTTAGATCCTCCTGCCACTCCGCTCTCCAGATAATGTATCTTTTTTAATGGATAGGGGGGAACCTGTAACATATAGAACACACAATTCCACAAAAACACAGGTGGCAGTGCCACCCTGCCCTCTCCCAGGTGCCAGCCAATCAGGGTCAGACCTCGTGGCTCATGGCTCTCATTTGCAGCTCACTTTCAGAGTGACTCATACTCTGGATTTCATGGAACTTTTTCTTTCCTATAAAAGCTTCTTTTTAAACCAGGTTCCCAAGACTGGATTTCATTGAGGTCTTAGCTCCTGGCCAAAAAGTATCCTCCCCACCCTCCCACCCCCCAGAGAATCCCAGTACTTAAGGAAGTCAAGTGGAACCAAGGTCCCATCCCTGGGACCTATGGAGCAGCTCACTCGTGCCAGCTTTCCAGCCCCACTGTGTCCAGGACAGCCCATGCCCTTCGTCTGTGACTCTTCTACCTTCTGCTGCTCCTGTTTTTGGTTTTGCTGGAATGCTTGTCTTTCTCATCCGCCTCTTTGGCCTGCTTCCGGCCCTGTTCCAGGGGATTCTTGCAACCTTCCCAGCTGACCCTAACACCTGCCGCCTGCCTGAGGTGTTTTCTTAAATACTTGAGGTGAGACCAGACATTGTTTTCTTTCCTGCTGCACTCCCTTTCCGCACGGGTATTCTGAAGTTCCCCGCCTGTAGCACGCCATCTCCGTGTTCTAAGAGACTGTACAGAAAAGTTCCGAGGCAATGAAAGGGCCTTCCTAGCAACTTCATCTCAGTATACACACCTTAAAGTTTTCACAACTCACTTTCACGGATTACCTCTCAAATCTCTATTATACGATGAGTCAAGTATGAATGCTAGCTATCGTTTAAAACCTACATTTCATTTTTGTTAAATTATTATTTTTTTAAAGATTTGTTTATTTTTTTTTAAAGATTCTTTTTTTTTTTTTTATTACAAAGTCAGATGTACAGAGAGGAGGAGAGACAGAAAGGAAGATCTTCCATCCAATGATTCACTCCCCAAGTGAGCACAACGGCCGGTGTTGTGCCAATCTGAAGCCGGGAACCAGGAACTTCTTCCGGGTATCCCACATGGGTGCAGTGTCGCAAGGCTTTGGGCCGTCCTCGCCTGCTTTCCCAGGCCACAAGCAGGGAGCTGGATGGAAAGTGGAGCTTCCGGAATTAGAACCGGCACCCATATGGGATCCTGGTGCTTTCAAGGTGAGGACTTTAGCTGCTAGGCCACGCTGCCGGGCCCAAGATTTGTTTATTGGAAAGGCAGATTTACAGAGAGAAGAGGCAGGGGGAGAGAGTGAGAGAGATCTTCCTTCCACTGGTTCACTCCCTAATGGCTGCAACAATGAAACTGGGCCAAACCAAAGCTAGGAGCCAGGAGCTTCTTCTGGTTCTAAGTGGGTACAGGCCCCAAGGATTTGAGCCAGACTCCCTTGCTTTCCCAGACCACAAGCAGAGAGCCGGATTGGAGGTAGAACAGCTGGGACATGAACCAGTCACACATGGAATGTTAGCACTTCACATGGTTTAGCCTGTTATGCCACTGAGCTGGCTCTGCGATATTTGTAATTTCATTTAATACCATATAGTTGCACACATAATTTTTATTTCAATATTGAGTTTGTCTAGGTTACATAACTTAACATAGTTACATAGTTCAAGACCTAACAATAAATACAGTGAAATGAAAAGAAGCGTCATAGCATTCTTATAGAAAAGTATCCTGAGCCAGAGTACAATGTCTGACCCAACTCCCTGTCCATGCGTTCAGAAGAACAACAGATGGTGGCTGGAGTCCTTGGGCCCCTGCCGTCCACCTGGGAGACCTGGGGGGGAGTTCCAAGCTTCTGGCCTTGCCGTGGCCCAGCCCTGGTTATTACAGTCATTTGTGGAGTGAACCAGCAGATGAAAGATCTCACTCTCTCTAACTCTGCCTTTCAAAAAAAATAAGTCAATATTTTAAAAAACTGAATATGGAAATATTTTAATTATTAGGAACCATTAATTAATCTATGTTGCAATTCCCTACTGCATAGCAAATAAAGTGTATTTTTCCTAGTAAACTATTTCAGAGATTCCCATTATGTGTCATCAACTTAACTTGCTATTTTTTAAAAAGATTTATTTACTTATATTGGAAAGACAGATCAGATTTACAGAGACAGAGATACAGAGACAAAAATCTTCCATCTGCTGGTTCATTCCCCAAGTGGCTTCAAGAGTTGTTGCTGAGCCAATCTAAAGCCAGGAGCCAGGAGTGTCTTCCGGGTCTCCCTCATAGGTGCAGTGTTCTAAGGCTTTGGGCCATCCTATACTACTTTCCCAAGCCATAAGCAGGGAGCTGTATGGGAAGTAGAGCAATTGGGACATGAACTGGTACCCATATGGAATCCCAGTGCTTGCAACATGAGGATTTAGCTATTGAGCCACTGTGCTGGGTCTCCTTGCTATTTTCTTTATCATACCTTTTTTAGCTCCGATATAATTACTCACTATTCTGCTTATGCAGTCATTTCTTTATAAATACCTCTTATTTACCACGTAAATTCTATATATTCTTTAAGATTTTAACCTACTGCTATCTCTTTCAGGTGACCCTGAATTGGGGGTGAGAGGCTTTATTTTCAAAGTTTGCCACAATGCAACATGGACACACATTTCTGTGTGCGCGCGCACACACACACACACACACACACACACACACACACACACACATCCTCTCCTTCTAATCTGCACACTCCTTGCGGGTAAGAGTCCTTGCTCGCTTGTCTACCAATATTTATTCTAGTCCTCTGCCAGCTTTGGGGATCGTTTTTCCTTAAGATTTATTTATTCTGAATTTCACAGTTCTAGCAAGAGAGATGGGGGAGAAAAGATCTCCCACGTGCTCATTCACTCCCCACGTGTCTGCAAAGGCCAGCACCGGGTCAGGCTAATGCGAGGCACCAGGAGCTTCATTCCAGCCTCCCACAGGGGTAGCAGCGACCCAAACACCTGAGCCACGTCAATAGCAAGGAGCTGGATCCCAACTGGAGGAAGTGGAACATAAACTGTTGCTCACTGGGAATGCCACCATCTCAGCAGGCAGCTTTACCAGCAGAATGCCAGCCCCAGCTGTGAAGGCATCATGCTTAACAAGATGGTGTGGAGTTTCCAGCCTCAGAAGTTGATGTATGAAGATAAGCACAGAGACCTGAGCAGTTAGCACAGAATGTAGCAGCTGCACCCTGAGACATTAGGAAAGTAACTGCTCAAGCAAGACCCTGAGGCTTGCAAGGGCACGATGCTGCGGGGGGGTAAGACAAAGAAAGAGCTCTGGGCAGCAGAAATAACACGTGAAAAGATCCCCAGGCAAGAGAGGGGAATCCATCACTGAACACTAGTCTGCACGGAGGAACAGGGCATGGAATGAGAGGCTGGACTGAGAGGAGCAGAGGCTAGCCCATGGGCAGAAGGTCTCACACCCACAAGTACCAAGCACAGCCTCGTCCTGACAGCTCTCTGACAGATCACCTAGGCTTCAGGGTGTGAACAATGAGGGATGGCCAGGAGAGAGACCATATGGGGACAGATGTCCTTCAAAGAATATACGTAGTCATTGAAATTAGGGTAGTAGCCTTGGGCCAGGGAAGGAGCTGGCTTTTAAAAACTGTAAGAAGGGCCTGGCGCGGTGGCGCAAATGGTTAAAGGTCCTTGCCTTGCACGCCCGGGATCCCATATGGGCGCCGGTTCTAATCCCGGCAGCCCCGCTTCCCTTCCAGCTCCCTGCCTGTGGCCTGGGAAAGCAGTCGAGGACGGCCCAAAGCCATGGGACCCTGCACCCACGCGGGAGACCCGGAGAAGGCTCCTGGCTCCTGGCTTCGGATCGGCATAGTATCGGCCCGTTGCGCTCACTTGGGGAGTGAATCATCGGATGGAAGATCCTCCTCTCTGTATATCCGCCTTTCCAATAAAAAAATAATAAAAATAAATCTTTTAAAAAAAAACTGTAAGAAAACAATGTGAAAGAGTTAACAGATGGCAGATTCTTCTTGAAGCTTGATTTTTCTGTCCCCAACACCCAGAGTTCTGCAGATCCAGGACCTAACCTGGGGCCTAAGGACAAACATGAGCTGTAAAACCATGTGATCCTGCGAAACACCAAAGCCACTGGGGTTATTGTGTTACACAGAGTATGGGTTAGACCTTACCTCTTCATCTGCCAGGCCCTCTTCTTCCATGGCCACTTCCAATTTCTTCTGCCTTTTCAAAAGAAAAGTTAAGATTTTAAATATGTTCTTAATTGTACCGAATTAAGAAATGCATATTATTTATTCAAACAAACCACTTCAATTTTCAATTTATATTTATATATACACACACACACACCCTTCAAACCAGATCAAAATAAGCACAAAGAATAGCATTCTCAAAATGTACATCTAGATTTAGCTAAATGGGTAACTCACTTGGAATGTTTACTTCCCTTTCATGTCTACATGAACTGCTAACAAAACGAATTAATATTCTGGGATCATGAGAATCCGTGGTCCAAGGGGATAAGCTGCTGAGCATCCCACACGGGAGGGCTGCTTTGAGTCCTGACTCTTGCGCTTCTGATCTAGTTTCCTACGAATGTGGCTGGGAAGGTAACAAAAGATGACCCATGCACTCAGGGTCCTACAGCCAACGTGGGAAATCAGGACTGAGTTCCTGGGGTCAGCCTTCACAGAACTGCCTGCTCGTGGCCATTTGGGGAGTGAAACCCCAGGTGGAAGATCTCTCTCTCTCTCTCTCTTCCCAACTCGTCTTCCACTGCTGCTGTCGCCTGACCTTCAAATAATCTCTTTGAAAGTAATTAATCTTTCAAAATGAAAAACTCTGTTATCTAATGTTCAACCTGATCAAATAATATTTCTCAATGCTTATATTAGAAACATAAAAGGTAATTATGCTGAAAGTATTGATGTCTAAAAATGTTTATTTATTTTACTTGTTGGCAAGCCAAAGAGATAGAAGAGAAAGAGAAAGAAATCTCCCATCTGTGTATTCACTCTCCAAATGCCAGTAACAGCTGGGGCTGGACTTGGAACTGAAGAAGACTCCAACACCACGTTCTGTGCCTGCCACCAGGCACCCCTGGCACCTGCAAGCTACACAGTGAAAAAGATTTTCAGCTTCCAAAGAGTAGCAGCACAGTTATTCTGGGACTATCAACAAATGAGGGGGTTTCAAACGCCCTCATTTCTCCTGGAAAAATGCATATTATGAAAAACTACGCATGGATCTTAAAAAAAAATATTTCTGTGCTGCATCAAAATAAGTTTTCTTCTTTTTGAGGGGCAGAGAGATAGGGAGAGAGCGCTCTCCATCTGCTAGTTCATTCTGCCAAACGGCCACAATGACCTGAGCTGGCCAGGATGAAGGCCCAGAGTTAGGAACACAATCCGGATCCCTACCATGGGAGCCAGGGGCAGGAGCTGGGGCCAGGGATCCTGCCCAGGGATGTGGGCATCCAGAAAACTAGGTCAAACACCTACCCCTGAACTTGCTTCCAAATTTTCCACAAACTTTCTGAAGCTCCCTCATAAAAGCAGTTTCATCAGATCACCACTATTGCCTTCCTTCAATCCTTGCCAACATTAACACTTGAGACTATGTGTCACTCTGAGAAAAGACACAGAGACACAGGAACTCTCATCTGTTTTCACCGGATCTGCACAGGAAGATCCTTGACTTAAAACAGTTTTCCTCCAACAATACCCTTATGCTTTGCTGTGCTCCATATTTTGTTAGAATGATGCATTTATCCAACTGGGTAAGCTTCAAATCCAGATCATATGTTTTCTTAAAGTATCTGCTTTTAGAAAATCCAACTGGTTTAATTTGACATCAATGGCACCAAAACAAAGACAATTTCTGTTAATAATATCAGATGCTTTTTATTCTCATATTTTCCTTTGGGAACAAAGGGAAAACTTGATTATATTAGCAGTTCAGCAGAAAAAGTCAACCTTTACAATTCTGACAAATACTAAGTACCTGCCTGCTTTTAGGGGAAGAAAAACATAAGTCTTTCTTCAAGTTCTCTTGTGATGATGTGATCACTTCCAGGGACTTAATTAGCCTTAATTTATGGTTAATGTAATTACTGGCATATTAGATTTATTTCTAACTCATTTTGAGCTTTCTATTTTGGTATTTCGGTTTCTCAGTTTCTGGTATTTCATTTTTTTCTCTTGCCTTCTTTGGAACTTTTTTCAATCCATTTTCCTCTTCCACTAAGTTTAAAACAAGCTATTGTTACAATTTTGGCAGTTACCCTAGAAATTAGAGCATGAAGACTTAATTTCTCAAAATCTTACATGTGAAAATCGCTAACCTTTCTACAAAGATTTTAAAGAATATTTTAATTCTACTCACTTTTCTCCTGATTTGCACCCTACTGTTGGAAAATTATTTTACAACTAATTGTATAACATGTGTATGATATTATCACAATTAATTTTGTTTGTTGTTGTATATGTTTTTTTTTTTTACCTGTATCCTCCTATTTACCATTTATCCATGTATGATTTACGGCTTTCTCTCTCCCCACACTGACTCTGCTGGCCGCGAACTCTCAGCTCAGACTGCCTTCGCTTCTTTCTCATTTCCCTCTTCTTTCAGGAACTTTAATTAAACTGATGTTAGCTCACCCACTGTTCTCCACATTTATAACTCTTGCATATATTCTCACTCTCAGATGACTTCTGAATAATGATTCATTTCATTTTCTAGTTCATTGATTCTCTCCTCACCTGTGTCTCCTCTATAGTAAGTCTTATGCAAAATTAAATTCAAAATCCGACTCATCTTCCCTACTCCTACTTCACTAAATTGTACCACTTTGTTAGGCATGAAGTTTCAGGGCCCAAATTGACTAATTTCTCTTCCATCTTGTCAACCATTCTCACTTGTCTGTTCTTGTCTAACTCAAGCCTTCTTCCCACCAGTCTGGTTTCCTCTTCTAATCAGCATTTGATATGCTCTTCCAGAGAAATAGTTGCAATCATTTAATTAATTAATTAGATAATCATTTAATTCTGCTGAATTGTTAAGGCTCTCTCTACTTCCACAGCAACAGCATGTTAACAAAGCATGCCAGGGTCCTTGGACTTTAAAATGATTTCTTCTATGTCAAATTTCCTTCTCTTGCTCGTTAACCTCTACTTCCTTTCACTTACACACATAAAAAATAACATTCTTCTTTACAGCCCTAGTTAAGAGGCCACCACCATTCACGAACCTTTGCCAGCTGCCTCAGTCAAAAGAAAGCTCACCCTTCTTGCCTGCCTGTTGGTGATGCTCAATCCCTCTCTGAATGGACTATCTTATTGTGCTGCAAGTCTTCTGAAGGCAAATTAACACGGCATTCGTTGATTTTACTTCTCTGTTCTCCCTGATACACACAACACTGTCAGGGTTTTGGATGAAGGCTGGTTATTCACAAAGCATCTTTCTAAATGAAAGTACGATGGCATAGAATAATTTTATACTTGAAGAATTGTTGGCACACCAACTGACATGTAATACAAACACATGTACACATAAGGCTTTGGGTATCTCAGAAACTATCCTGGGCAAACCAAACAAATAACCAGGTGCAGTGTCAGTGCGGCACTCTGAAAAACAGCATCTGTGATCAATGGAAAACGTGCTTACAATTCACTCACAGCACAACACCTCATGGAAACAAACTGCTGACTCTACCTGGTTTCTCTCTCTTCATGCTGTAGAATCAGGTTGCTGTAAAAATTCTCCAGTGTGAGCTTGGCTACAGTCACTCTCTCCCGGGTATGGTTGCTCATAGGAAAGGTGGTTGCGCTCCCTGCCGTCATGGCCATAGTAACAGAAACTGAAACAGCATATGAAGACACATTAGAAAACAACTTTTACTTCTTATAACAAACACAAAAAAGGGTTTATTTTCTACTACAAAAAATCCTTCCGTCTCAGTTAACACACCCAAGTCTTCCACGTTACAAATGATACAAAGTGGACCGGCGTTATGGTATACCCCTTTCATTTGCCAACTATGATGCCAGTATCCCACATGGGCACTGGTTTGAGTCCTGGCTGTTCCACTACCAATCTAGCTCCCTGCTAATGCACTTGGGAAAGTAGTAGAAAATGGCCCAAGTGCTTGGGCCCTTGCCACACACGTGAGAGACCCAGAAATTCCCAGCTCTGCCTTTGGCCTGGCCTAGCCTGGTTGTTTTGGGAGAGAACCAGCGGAGGAATCTACCACACAGTCTTCCTCTCTCAAATCCTAGCTTTCAAATAAATAAATCTTTTTTGAAACATTATACAAAGCTAGTAAATAAAACTAAATATCCACCATTAGCAAGAGAAATCAACTTTGTGTTGGCAAAACCAGAAGTGAACCACAGTAAACAATTACACACAGTATAGACACATTTATATATGAAAGATCAGTCAAGAAGCACTTGAAACAGGAAAAGTTTGAGCAATTATGCTGTTTTATTGATCACTAAATAAAATTGCTAAGGTTTTATTAGTAGTCATGTTTATTAAAAAATGTTAAGTCTCCTAAAAGTAAGTTAGGGTAGTAAGAAGTAGCTACTGCCATATAAATCTTTCAAACAGGAAGTATTCTATCATATATCCTGGTGAGTGTCAGACTAAAGTAACTCTCACAAGTAAAGCTTTAGGGGAAAAGCTGCTTTTAGAAACAGACCCCTCTAGATGGGGTCCATGGCCACCCATTTCTTTTGAATTCTGCGTCCTTCCAAATAACATGGTAACAAGGTGTACTACAGTCTCCAGGTTGTAAGGTCCATTTCATTTCCAAATTAAATGCAAATGTCTATACAAATCAGGCAGGAAAAACAAATGCATGAATGAAGTCATCAGGGAGCATTAGTGCCAGCCTATGTCTGTATAAAGGCGTTCAACTGCCCACTTTTAAAAAAGACTGGCTTCCAGAGACCAATGCAGACAAGTAGACAAGGAATATATTAACAGTAGCTACATTAAGAGGGGCAGATGGAAAGCTGGTGGCTGCCCTGGCAGAGGGTGTGGCAAGCACCATCAACAGACTTGCCAACCACAGGCAACATCTAGGCCAGAGCAGAAAAGTTCATGTATCGAAGAAGCTTCAGCTTATCTGGACAGGGATCTTAACAAACTGGCCAAGAAGCTCTAACAGGCCACAAATGACCATCCAAAGGTGCATTCATGGCTGAAGAAGACCCCTCCCCCAAACTTACTACCTCAATAAAATGAAGAAGGTAGAGCTCCTGGAGCTCTTAATATTATTTCTTAAAACAGTGAATAATAAAAGTTATGAAATCCAAGCATGATGATAACCAAGTGCTTTCTAAAGGACTAAGCAGCTCTTACTGGAAGGCTAGCTAAGGCAATGCTGCCAAGCCATTTTTTGAAATTTCAGAATCCCAGCCTCATGTCCTGTCAGCGGATCAGCTGCAGAATAGTCAAAGAGGAACAAGGCCAGTATATGATGGCATTCATTCATCTAGACGTGGGGGATATAGAAGAATGGACCACAAATGAAGGCAGTAAAATAAATTTCTGGAACCCTCTGTGCACAGGAAAGCAGCGGGAGAAGCTGGTCAGTGTTTTACGCTCTCTGCTGCTTACCATACCTCCCATACAGAGTTAAACTGTAGGCAGACTTGTTATGAAACAAAAATGTGTTACGACATCCAAAACGATTAAAAAAAACCCCAAAACTTGTCGATATTGATGGTATGGCAATAAACCTGAGGTCATTTCAGCTAAGCATTTATGTATGAGCCTGAGCAGTCATTATAAAAGAAAACACAGCGAATTCTTCAAAATTCAGAAGTGCATGTCAGGTACTGCAGAACCACAGGTGCTATCCACGGCCACAAGGCTCCTTCCCTTCTGGCACGAGAGCATGCGTGCCTTGTTAAAACCAAGTCAGCACAAAATCTGCATCTATTTCTGTTTGTAATAAACAAGCATTATAACATGTGCCAGCGTGCTGCACACACAACAGGCATTCTATAAATGATCTCAGTAATCCAATTAGTTGATTTTACATTTTAATTTCTTTGAGACAAAAATACAGATTCCTCTGGTATTGTGTTACCTTTCAGAAACAAATTTTAACATTTAAGACATGTATTTGCAGAAGAAAGCTCAAAATCCCACTCTTAGTCAATTTCATTTTTTTCTATAGATTAGTTTGGAAAAGCAAGAAATAAAACTCTATCATTCTAAACAGACTTAAATAAGTTTTAAAAAATGTTTAAGTTGGGGCCCAGCGCAATAGCCTAGAGGCTAGAGTCCTCGCCTTGTACACCTGGGATCCCATCTGGGTGCCGGTTCTAATCCCAGTAGCTCCACTTGCCATCCAGCCCCCTGCTTGTGGCCTGGGAAAACAATCAAGGACAGCCCCAAGCCTTGTGACCCTGCACCCACATGGGAGAACCAGAAGAAGCTCCTGGCTCCTGGCTTGAGATCAGCTCAGCTCCAGCCACTGCGGCTACTTGGGGAGCGAATCATCAGATGGAAGATCTTCCTCTCTGTCTCTCCTCCTCTCGGTATATCTGACTTTTCAATAAAAATAAAATAAATCTTTTTTAAAAATGTTAAAACTATACAAAGTAGAGAAATGGTTAGGCTACAAAGATGCTGGCTGGCAGTAGGCGTATTGTAAATGCACTCCTCTAATGGATTTAACACTGTTCTTTGTCTTGTATTTAGCCAGGAAGAGAACAGGATACAATTTGCAAGTCTAGAATTCCTGGACTGATAAAAACAACAGTAGGTGCCCTTGAGGTTCCTATTCTTGTGTTTTCTCCAGACAACCTATTCATTAATGGAGACACCACCAATGTCAAGTCCAACATTCCTGAATTTATCAAGCCTGGGGAAAGGAGATAACAAATCGGACACTCTGGCCATTTATAAATAGATGAGGTGTCTATAACCATTAGCCACCAAACTTGTAAAGGAAGAAAATAGAGCTGCTTTATCATCTGGTCAAACACACTATTTAACAAGTAGTTTCACAAAAAAAAAAAAAAAAAAAGGCTATCATTAGCATGACTGTGTGGCTTCGCAGTGCAAAAAGCTTCACAAATTCATCACTAGTTGCAACCCTAACCACAAGTCCTCAGATCAGAAACTATTTCCATCAGATCCCTATGACAGAACAGCTCTAGGTGAGGGTTCAAATCCCAACACAGACAGTAAGTCACACGACAGTATTGTCCAAGATCCACTTCACACCAGCCCTGTGTTTGTTCCGTGACAGGGAGTCTGATCACACACCCTTTCTGCCTTCAAGGAGCTCACAGTTTTAGAGGGACACAAAGCTGGGAGAAATGAGCGTTTCAGGGCGCAGTGCAGGCCTGACTGAGTTTCGTGTGGAGAACAGCCTGTGGTAAGAGACAGCAGTCTTACCCCACAGAGGAGACCCTGCTGTAAGAAACGAAACAGACATGCAGAATGGATTAAGTATGTCTGATTGAAATAGCAAGCGAACAGCTAAGGGTCATGATAAAATCCCTTTTTTTGCAATGTCAAAAAATCACCTGAGTGTAAGTGGTTTTTAATTACCAGAAAAACTAACAGCCAACACACAGCATATCCTGAGTGTTTACTCCAGCACCAAGAACTCTTCTGAAAACATGACACACGTTAGTGCAGTCACTCCTCCTAAGCAGCCCCAATTACCCCAGGACAGGGAGGACACTGAAAGGCTGACAGCACAGATTAGAGGAATGCAGATCATGGTGGGAGGCCTCCCTGCAGAAGCATCTGCAGCCATATTCTGTTTGGCTTGTGCTGGCTCAGAAATCAGGGGACAGGCATCTGGGGTAGTGGTGAATGGTTTGGAACACCTAAGGTTAATCACCTCACTAATGCAAACCCCTGGAGAAAGTGACGATGGCCGATGTACCTCAGTCCCTACTTGGGGGACCCACATTGAGCACCCCCTCCCCCCGCTTCTGGCTTTGCTCTAGCCCAGCCCTGGCTGCCCTATGCATTTCAGGGGTGAAATGGTAGATTCATAATCTTGATTCATAGTCTTTTTCTTTCTTTCTCTCTCTCAACTGCTAAATATATCTAAAAAATATATGAAGATTATACAAGGAGATGCAGATTTCTGATTTCTGTTGAAAAATGCAGATCAGGAAGTGGGACTCAGGAGCACAGGACAGGACTTGAACCAAGGTGCTCCACTGTGGGACACAGGCCCCTCAGCAGCACCTCAACCACCCCATGGCAGGCACCCTCAGCAGCACCTCAACCACCCCATGGCAGGCACCCTCAGCAGCACCTCAACCACCCCATGGCAGGCACCCTCAGCAGCACCTCAACCACCCCATGACAAGCACCCTCAGCAGCACCTCAACCACCCCATGGCAGGCACCCTCAGCAGCACCTCAACCACCCCATGGCAGGCACCCTCAGCAGCACCTCAACCACCCCATGGCAGGCACCCTCAGCAGCACCTCAACCACCCCATCACAGCTCTGTCTGGAAATGCATTATACTTCATCTCCAAGAGACACTCAGCTGAATTGATCAATCACAGATAAATTAAAAACAAACTACTTTCGCTGAAAGGTCCAACAACTTCAAATATTAATAATTTGGCACTATAATGGAAAAAAATCAATATCAACTTTTACATACTAGATACAATCTTAAAAGAATTCTGAATCAATGTCCATTTACTGGCACCCATAGAGACATACTTCCCTTGCTGGACCATAAAGAGAAAAAAGATTCAATTTGCCCAAAGGTGGGTGGAGGGTCTGAGGGGAAGGGATTGGGGTTGGAGAGAGAAACCTGAGAGTTGAGTATTTCAAAGCCATTTGGAAATTAGCTCCAGGC